TGGAAGTGTGTGGTCAAGTGTGGCAGCGTTTAGCTTAGCCATATAATGGGCTACCGCTACCGGTCTTGGGTGTTGGCTTATGGACTTGTGGGCCGGTTCAGAGATCGTTCCATCTTTCTTAATTTGCCGTAATTTCTCTTGCTCCGTAGGGTGATATCAAATTTGGATTGGTCCATGACTATATGGCTCTACATACACATGTGCGAGTATGTACATATTTATGTAGTTGATAGAAAGTTGGAAAGTTTCTCAAAATTAAAATGCTGTATAATTTTTCATAACTACTTAGTTAATAATTAATTTCACTAATTTGATTAGAAACTAAAATGCTAGCCAGGCCTCTCACTATTCATTTTGTTTAGTATTTTAATTCACCTTTTCTTATTGTTGTCTTGTTGGCTGACAAATGCTGTTACTACTACAGAGTGCGAACTATAGAGGTTATAGATTCCGCACAATTGGTGTTTAGCCAATGTCTGAAGTTCTTTTGTGGCCATTACAAGCGATTGCTGGTTTTGGCCGCGTTGTTAAATCCTCGCCAGCGTTGTCTGTTATGCCGCGGATACAGCTCATGGTTTATCCATTTACGGAAGATCCGTCCGTTTCAGGATATTTCTCTGGAAGCCATCCAGTGTTGCCTTATCTGATGCTGTTGATGTCCATGGTTCAGCTCAAGATAAGGGACTTGTAGAGGGTTTATATATCTCGTTCATTCATTCAAATATAGTACTTGTATATGCAAAATGGCAACTTTTTGAAATAGGTGCAATGATAATAAATAAAAGGTCCGTATCATAGAGCCTCCAATGGCAATGGAATAAATGTCCAGATTGTTGTCCAAGTTATTGAGTGTGCGAGCTATCGAGTATGTAGTACTGTATTTAATATTTACGTCAAATAGCATCAGTAACTATTACTAAGCAATAAATATTGATTTTATGTCCACAAGTTTTTTAATATATTTTACTTTATATTTTTACTATTGAACTGTATTATTAAGATTTGTATGTATCTTTAGAAATTGAAAAAAAAAAATTGATTGTAGAATAGATAGCAGCAGCTTACTGCTTATCACTAATATTTTCTTATTTCTTATATTGTCCATTGGTCCGATTTCTGATTGCAACTGATTCGTATTTAATGGGAGCTATCTTGATGTGTAAAGTCAACATTCAAGCATCGGAGCTGATGTAGTAACTGAGCAACTAATTTCGAGCTTCTTCTATTAAAATGCATGCCTATTTATTTCTAAAATATTCCAGATAAGGCTGCAAAGAGCCGTCTGCTTCTTCCCCATGCCATACTAAGTAGTACGTCCATACATCCTATGTGTATAGTATGTGGGTACGTATCTGGGTAATATATCAACTGGCCTATCTGGCGATCAACTCTATCAGTTGGCAAAAGGCGCCATTGAGGGCAAGTTTTATGTGATTTCTTACACAAAAGTTGCGAAAGACTGCGATCGCACCGATCGCATTTACGAATGTGTGTATGTATGAACAGATGTTGTATGCATGGTGGCCAGTACCCCAGAGCAAATAAAAATTAAATTAAAATGCTATAGAAAATGGTGGAAAAATCTGTGGCAGGGCGGCCGAAAGAGGAAGCAGGCCCCATGCGAAAACAAAAGACGACAACAACAACATAAGCAGCAACAACTCTGACAACGTTGACGACGCTAACGACGACGAAGACTTTGAGTGATCATCAGCGTCACTGCCTAACCAACACACATGGACTCGATTGGAGTACATACATACATCCAGACACACACACGTACACATTACACACACACACACACGCACACACAAGTATACAAGTGAGTATGTATGTAGTATGTATGTATGTGTACTATCTACGTGAAGTTGAAGTAAAGTGTAGTGAAGTCGTTTTGCAGAGCTTCAGTAGTTCCCTCACTTGATGTCTATTGTGTGCGATCCGTCGGCCCCTCTCGGCCCACCCTCACTCGATCTCTTTCCTTCCTACTGTCTCGCTGCCTATATATTTATATGTATGTGTGCTATATACATAAGTATGAGTGTGTATCTGTGTTTGTGCGATGATAACTCGTATGTAACAGGAGACATGCTCTACTGAACATGAGGTTCGATTAAATGTTAATGTTGGTTAACTTTGGGGTTTTTCTTTAGCTTGTTTTTTTTTTTTTTTTTTTTTTTTGTTCAGTTGTAGCTGATGTTGCTGTTGTTGTCTGTTGGTGTTTGTGTTACCTTTGTGCAGTAACTGCATTGGTGTGTGTGCGAGAGCATTAGAGATGGGCGTGAGTCGTGATCGTATGTATAAGCTTGCTGATTCCCAATTATGTTTTGACAGCACTTAGGCCTACAACACTATTGCCGTTAGAGGTCTTCTACTAGGAGGTACGTAGAGAATACATCAGTTCTAGCTTGAAAAACATAATGTCCAATTAGTTTCCTCTAACTCGGCTTATATGGAATCTGGAACGATGAGCAGTGGCCCTGGATAAGCCTTTTTAGTCTTGAGTTTTTCTCAACTCTGCTGTCAAATAAATTTTAATATTAATATATTTAACAATTAAGCCCCAAACATTCACATACGAGGAGTGAGCGTGAGTCGTGATCTTGGTAAGATGTTTTTAGTACTTCATTGCAGGTCTTTCTCTAGCCATACATGTTTCAGACAACGTTTGATCTGATGCTTACATAGATATATAGATTTGATTTGTAAGATCTCTTGTTTGAGTGTTTTTTCTTTTTTCTGCTTAACTTTTCAATCAATTTTCAAAATAAATTGCGCTAAATATTAAACGTATTGGAAATTTGTATCTGATTTTTCGGATCCCAAAAGGGTGTTAATGACCCAGTGATCTTTACTCATTTGAATCAAATTTGATCCCTTTACACATCCCTAGTCTGCATCTACTTAACTACCGAACTTGTCTACGTTCACACATAAAAATCGCGTACATATTGAGGTCTGGGGTCTGGGCCCCTACCTTTCGCTATTGTTGTTGTTGTTGCAGGTTGATGTTATTTTTTTGGGGTTTGCTGCTTGGTTGGCTGGCGCGCTCAAACGTAATGGACGCGCATCTGTCTATGCGTAGAGCACTGCGCAGTCGTGGCCAACGCATGTGAAAAACTCTTTCTATGGCGATCTTTCGCTCGATCTCCTTCTCCCAATCCCATGCTCTCTACCTCTCTACCTACGTCCCTCTCTCTCTCTCTCTCTCTCTCACTGTCTCTCTGCCTCTCTTTAGACGCCCACACACGCGCGCCGAGTGCGCTTTTGGTGGGCAGGTGTTTCAACCGGCAGCAGAGGCTGAGGCTGAGGCTGAAGCTAAAGCAGAAGCCGAAGCCGAAGCAGCGCCAAGCGTCTTGTTGAACTCAAAGTCAAGTCATTGTTGTTGTTGTGTTGTTGTTATTGTTGCTGTTGCTGTTTGCCTTTTGCACTTCACTTCACTTTAATTTTGCAGCGCTTGGATGCTTCGCCGAGCCGAGCGCGTCTCAGTTCAACTTGGTTTATTTTTTGTTTGTTTGTGTTTTTGTTGCTTTTGTTGTTTTTGTTTCGGTTTTGGGGCCCCGGGTCGTAAATTTCTTTAGGCCTCGTCTGTTTTGCTCTTATTGTTGCGTTTGTTGTTGCTATTGTTGTTGCTGTTGCCTATTAAAGTGCGATTTGTTTAATGATTTTCTACAACTCTCTGTATAAATTTTCCATTTGAAATTACATGTGAGTCTTGGAGTCTTATATTTTTTTATTCGGAGTTTTGGAAATGCGCATGAAAATTAAGTGTTTTATTATGCAAAAATCATTCGGCGGCGGTTTGAAAATGCTGCGCTGATTACGCTTAGACTGAGCAGCGCTCACCAACGACCAAATACCGCCAACACCACCATAACAACCACCAGCACCACCACGACCCCTTCTTCCCCATGCCTAAGTCACGCCGTTGGCTTCGCTGCCTTTGTCGCTTCCACTGCGCTTGGCTTGAACTTTGCGCGTCTGGCTTTAATTTCCACTTGGCAGTTAGTTTTAGCTTTAGTTTTAGTTTAGTTGGTAATATTTAGTTGTTTTAATTAATGGCCTCTTGCTGCTTTTGATGTATGCATTGAGCAACGAGCTGATTTGCATTGAAGTTGGAGTTGAAACCAAAACTGAGGCAGCAACCGAAACTGGCTGGGCCCTGTCATCCTCCATGTGGGGGCTGGGGCTTGAGAAATTTAGATTTTATTGTGTGAGTGTGTGTGTGTGTGTGTATGTATGTGTAGTTGCAACTTTGTGCGTAAATTTGCTATTGCATTTCTTCTTCTTATTAAAATTGATTCATTTGATTAAGAAGGCAATTCTAAAGAACAAGTTACTGAAGCTTCACCAACATGCTGTCTTTTTATCAATTTATTACTATTATTTTTTATATATATTGTATATTATTTATATTTATTAGAAAATTAATAGACTCCGTGACTAAATTAGATCTTCAAATCGACTCTGCTTTAAAAGACTCATGTTAGGGCAGCTGTTGCCTTGCCGATCGACGAACTTGCTTCCAAATAGTAACCTACCATAAACGAATTAAACCAACTCTATCAACAGTTCTCTATATTAATTAACTTATTATTAATTAATTATTATAAAAAGATTTCACATAACTTCTTGTCATTATTTTCTTCTGTACAGCCTTTCCATTCCACAACTGTTTACATCTGGTATTTAGACCCCACATATACAATAAGTTCGCAGACCACTTCGTAAACCAGTAGGCCAGATGAGTCTTATTCTCCAGTTTTTCTCGCTTCCACCACTCATCATCACCGTTTCTTCTTCAGCTGTCCCAGCAACAATATAGCTCCAAGCTCGTTCCTTATTCTCTACTTCACTTCTTTCTCACTCCTTCATCTTCTGCAAATTTTTCGCCACATTTTCTTTAATTCTTGTGTAGCTAATCAGTAAACCCGGCGACAAACATCATTATTAATATATTATTTCATTCTTTTTTATACCTAGTTCCGGTTAGCATACGAATTTTATTTTATTTTTTCACATACATCCAAAAAATAAAAAAAAAAACAAGTTTCTGGCCAATAACAAATTTTGTTCACATTTTTCACGGATCGCGCAACGCAACCACAAAATTTTCATTACAATTTCTCAATTAGTGCCTGCCCCGCAACATCTGACTGATCCGATCCGAAATCATGACATCGAAAAATAACATTTGGAGCGGTTCGCAGTTGTCGGTTGTGGGCGGTGCGCTTAAGGCGCTGGCGAAGAAGGTGGCGCCTCAGATATCGCTCAACCGTGTGGGACTGAAGCGTATTGTGGCCCAAGTGATTGCCGAGCAACATGGCCTGGGCCGTGTGGGCGACTACAGGGGTCACATGTACTACGTTAAGCCAGAAACCCTGGACATGACCGAGCTGATCACGCAGGCCAAAGAGGCCTTGGACGATGTGGAGGAAGGGGAGCAGGAGCGTCGACACTTTCGGGATCAAGAGTTTCGCCGATATATACGGAAGACAGTACACAAAAAGTCGCCGGCGTTGTTCAAGCTGGACGCTGGCAAGCACAAGAACCTAACGGGTGTCATCATCGATAGCACACATTTGCCAGAAGGTGACGAGACCAAGGAGATACTGCTCCAGGTGCCGTCAGTGTCGATGCGCGTGCCGCTGCCCCGCTCTCTGACCTATGAAGGGCAGGCAGAAGGCAGCGGCAACGCATTCCGTGGACAGAGGCCCCTGTCAGAGTTGTCAGCCAAAACTGAGGCGGGGATGATCAAAAGACAACGAATGTTGGTTAAGGGTTCCCAGCAGAAGCGATTACCAGTGAAGCAGCCGCCATCCAAGCGCACATTACTGCGTCAAAAAAAACTCAAACAAAAGACACAAGCAGCTCCACCCGCAATAAATCCCAGGCAGAGTGTCGGCATGGAATCTCCCCCGCCACGCCTGCGCGCTGGTGAGTCCCAACAGCTCCAGTCCCAGTCGCAGCCGCAACCAAAACTGCAGCCACAGGCACAGCCAAAGCGTGAGCAGCAAGAAGAGTCTGTATTGCACAATCCCGTGCCCCAGCTGCCCAAAAAGAAAATGCCCGAATCCCCAAACAATAAGAATCACTCTCCTGTTGATAGTGGTCTGGGTGTTGGGCGGACGACGCGCAAGAAGAACAAGAAGACGCTACCGCTGTTGCAGCGCAAATATGATAAGCCCTGGCTAGTGCGACGCTACAAACGGCATGCGACCACCCCAAGCCGTCTGAGCGCCGGCTTCGGCCTGGCCCAGCCCTTGAAGGTGCAGAAGCCCGAGGGAAACGCTGTCAAAGCCAAGGCGCGCCCACTCCAGCAGCTAAATAATGTTATATTTCCCTGGTACACACCATATCAGTTCCCAGGGGCGGCCGGGGCCACCCAAATGTACCCAACGCCTGGCAAGATACAGCCTAAGGCCAAGCCGAAGCACAAGTCCAACCTCAAAAATAATAAGCCTCGAGTGCCACGCAATAATAAAAACCCCTACATTGGTGGACCCATTAGCAACAATGCCAACAACAACAGCAAGCACCAACAGGTGGTGTTAGTCCCCACACACGCGAGTCGTCAGCGCATGCGCCGCAAGCTGTTGCGCGAAAGCCTGATCCGCGATTTGCTGCGCGAAGAAGCCATCGATGAAACGGATAGCGTTTATAGTAAGGTAGGTAAGGGAAAACGCTCAGCGCAGCCCTCGGCAAAGGGATCACCGACGGCCAAGGCTAAGGCAAAGCTGCTGCCAAGGCTGCAGTCCGAGCTGATGATGGAGCCAAAGCCACGTCCAAGTCCACAGGCCACTGAGCAACCACAGGTTAGGCAGCGCCTGGCCAAGCCATCGTTGACGGCAGTGACGAAACATGCTCGCCGGCGGCGCCCTAGAGGGTCTGTGTCCCTGCCCGTGGACAACAGCATGGGCAGCATAGCGAACTTGAAGCTGCTGCGTAATTCCGAAACATCGCAATCCGCACTAACGCCGGCCAAACGCCATCTGACCATAGCCTTCATGGACAAGCGCCCGGACGAGGGGCGTGGGCCTCGCGGCTATGTGCCATGGAAGTAGAATTTGATGTTGATACTTAAGATGGTGTGTTTGTTTCGAGGGTTGTGAGTGGTCCCACAAAAAGCGCCAAATAAATTATAATGAGTATAAGATGATGTTACTTAAAATATTATAGGATATATTACTTTCAATTCAGAGCTGTGTAAGAGCTGGAGAGTATGGCGAGGTAACATATTCTGAAGAACAGCTTGAGACTGAATGAACCTCAACATCTAGAAGAATTAGCAACAGTATTATTGCCAGCGATAGATTAGGGTAAAATATACTCTATCTGAGAATATATTTTGCCATCAAGCAAAGCTCAAATCAACAATCCATTTGTGTAAGGTTGAAATAAGTTGAACATAATTGATGAGTATTAGATGATGTTACTTAAAATATTATAGGATCTATTACTTTCAATTCAGAGCTGTGTAAGAGCTGGAGAGTATGGCGAGGTAACATATTCTGAAGAACAGCTTGAGACTGAATGAACCTCAACATCTAGAAGAATTAGCAACAGTATTATTGCCAGCGATAGATTAGGGTAAAATATACTCTATCTGAGAATATATTTTGCCATCAAGCAAAGCTCAAATCAACAATCCATTTGTGTAAGGTTGAAATAAGTTGAACATAATTGATGAGTATTAGATGATGTTACTTAAAATATTATAGGATCTATTACTTTCACTTCAGAGTTGTGTAGGAGATCCAGAGTATGGTGAGGTGATAACTCTGAAGAATAGCTTGAACTTCAACATCTAGAAGAATTAGCAACAGTATTATTGCCAGCGACATATTAGGATAAAATATACTCTATCTGAGAATATATTTGACCATCAAGCAAAGCTCAAATCAACAATCCATTTGTGTAAGGTTGAAATAAGTTTAACATAAATTCCCAGTGCTATAGCTAGATGAACAGCTAAAACAGCCTTTATATAGGGTGTCCTGTAAATTACTGATATTTTATTTGCGAACAAACTCTCCTTCGCTATTCTCAAATGTACGAAAAGCTCCAGTGATCCACTTTCAAGATTATAAGTAGCAGCTTAACTGCACCTACATACGAGTACTCGTATATTATTTGATTCAAGTATTTGAATTTCCCTACGCCTTTGTCAGTCACTAAGTACAAGTATTTTGCCTTAACCTTTTGACTTGTGGCTATTCACATTGCTGGTCGTGCGGCAAAAGTGCGCAAAAGGAAGGCGGCCCCAGTGGCCGGGCTCGAGAAGACGGCTAGTCCGAAATCATTTGAGCAGCGCGGTGTGAAATTTCACACCGATTGCAATAAAAATTCAAACCGTGGTCGGGCCACAATGAAACAAACGGCGGCGGCAAGAGAAAGGCGCTACATTGAAACAAAATCAATCAAACAGACCAAAGGGTAGTATGGCTAAGTGAGTGGAGGTGAGCTGAGCTGAGCCGAGCCGAGCTGAGGGAGAGCCAAGTCGGGTCGACGGGCTGCGCATGCGCGCACGCCGGATGTGTTGGCAGCGTTCGCGGCGTTAATGGTGTCACTAACTATGCCGCAACAACTGACGCTCGGCCGACCGGACGCAGCCGCAGCCAAAGCCACAGACAGAGTCATAGTCATAGTCATAGCCATAGCTATAGCCACAGACGGCTGATCATCGAATGGAACCAATAAAAGTCGCCTTCATTGTCTTTATTTGCTCGCGTTGCGTCGCATCGCGTCGCGTCGCGGCTTGCGGGTCCCGGGGTCTGTGCGCAGGCTGCATTCAATACAATTTCATTTCCATTTCCATTTCATTCAATTCAATTTGCATTTGTCGGCATTTGGCGCTGCTCTGCCTCTCTGCCAGCGTCTCTCCACCCCCCTCTCGGGGTGCATGGTTGAATGGTCTTATGGAGTTGCGGGTGTTGCGGGTCTTGCGGGCGCTGCTGGTCACTAAACAAAGTACACACACACACACATACACACACACACACACACACACACACAGCACATGTGTCTATAGGCGAGTACTCGTACTTACTGGCGGATAGTTAACAAACAACTGAAACAATTCAATTGTCTGCCTGGTTGCTTGCCTGCTTGTTTGACAGTCGAGTCAGTCGAGTGGTGGGGGAGAGCGCTTGGTGTTGTTTTTGTTGTTTCCAATTGTTGTTTGTCAGTTGCGGTACATTGCGTATCACACATTAGCGATGGGTGATGAATGCTTTTCGGCACTCGCAACTGACAACATGTGGACCCGCTTACATACGCGCGATCTGCACGGTTCTTTCTTGGCTTGTATTCACATATAGATTCAGATTCGATTGGCAATTTCGTTTTTCCAATTCACGAGAATGCGGCTGTAAGCAATTGTTTGCACACAAAGCCCCTAAAAGCTTGCCGTATTAGCCCGCTTATGATCCGCAGATAATTTGCTTGTCTGACCACTGCTCGCTTAATATTTTACGTTTATTGATAAATTAATTATTTATTAATTCTGTATGCTGCCGTGATATTTCATAGCAAGAAATTGTCTTTGAATTGGAAATGGCAAATGCTTTCTTACAGTTTTGGCAAGCTCATTGAGCAAATTGTTTGATAGCTACGATAAAAAGTTTGCAAGCAAACCAAACTGTAAAAATATATTTTGACAAATTTTGAACGCCCTTTACTTAATTATTTTAAAGTCTTCTTCTTCTAATAGGACACAAAACTTACTCTTAAATGTTGTTCTTGTCTTAAAACTGGAGATATTAATATTCATGAAAATAATATTGGCAGAAGTACTATAGAAGGCTGTAATTTTTCCAACATGATTTCAAAACGAAATTGTTGCGCTACCAAAAAAATTGTGTAGACATTCGGAAACAAAAATGCTGACTGTTTGAATTATTTGCTTATTAGACCCTAGCTTTGCACCCACAATCAAAATTAAATGATCATTGATTTTTATGCAAATATTTTATTTATCCAGATCAAATCAACTACTTTCGAGGAACTCATTCCATATCAAAATCACTAAAGTAAGGCAGCAGGTTTCCCATTCAAAAACATATCTCTCTTGAGGCCTCAACACTTAACATTGATTTTTATGGGCATAGTTGAAGGCTCTAATTTAATATCGGCTTGGTTAGCACCCCTATTCCAGCCCTTCCAGCGCCCGCATAACCAGAGTTCATTAAAAGCGGTCGATTGCTCGCTGGCCACAAAGACAACTACGGTTCCGACGAGTACATACAAACTATATTTCTTCCAATGAAACGTTTTTATGTTAATTCAAAAATTGTTTTACAACCAATTAACTTAGCCAATGCACCAAAAAGATCAACGGACAAGATCGACGCCACCAACTGCAACTGGAACAGCAACAGCAACAACAATGGCCAAGTGGCCACTAGATTAGGGTAGGGTAGCGTAGGGTAGAGTAGGGTGACCAATGTGATCCGATCCGATGCGATCGCATTGCATTGCATGCCGCACGCCGCTTGGAAATTTCATTACGCGGGACTGGCTGTTTGGCTGACTGTTTGGCTGACAGTTAGCCAACTAGTCGAGTTGGTTAGCTCGGGTAGCCCAGCGGGCAGGCAGGTGTAAAAACTCGGTGGTGGTTTTAAGGGGCGAGTTTTTATACCCTACCTAACAGGTATGATGGTTTTTTACATATTTTTGTGACGCATATGGGTGGAAAAAGAAATACACCTAATTCGTTTTTTTACACGATTTTGATATAACACGGTTTGAAAATTAAAAAATTCATATATATTTCTTTAGAGATAAGGAACCAATCACCTATTTTTACATATGATCAATGTATTTTTTTACACGGTAGATTGGTTACTAAAAAAAATCGCATAAGAAAAAACCGTGTAAAACAAACAGTGTAAAAAAGACAAAATGAATCGTGCTAAATGAAATAAAGTCGTGTAGCCATGTATAACATTTTTAATTTTAAAAGACCGTGTACAAACAGAATTAGGTGTATTGTGTTGCGAAATTAAATAAGCTGGTTGATCATTATTCTACATAATATAGTTATAGACTGGGAGGGAATACTTCCAACAGGACTAGAGCTACATTTTATGACACTTGGTGATATTTAGAAAGAGAGCTCCTGTACTCATCGAATATAAACATTTATTTTCGGCATATTTACAGACTATTTTATGTGTAGTTTTCGATCGTGTTATAAATGATTTTATATTTAAAGGAAAAAAGGGAAAAAGAAACTTGTATAGAGTATACAGTTTTTGGCACGCTAAGGACCGTGTTGTGTTGTTCTTGCAGTTCCTGTTGCTGCAGCGGCACTCACTCTAAATCAATCAAGCGCGGCAAACGCCAAAACACATACCATTTCAATTAAAATGCCGATGTGTGTGCCGCTGCTGCCTCTCTGGTGTCTTCTGGCTGGTGGTGCTGGTGGTGGTGGTGGTGGCTAGTGGCCGGTGGCTGGCAACTACTTGTATATCTTCCCTATTTATTCAGCTCAGGCTGTTGTAAATAGCGCGCGCGACCTCGGCTGTAGCTACAGGTGCGATCGATCGATCGGCCTGACTGCGGTCGTGTCATGTAATTAGGAAGTCGCATGAGGGTCAGTCGTTGGCGCTGATCGATCCTACGATTGACAAACGCATTGATAGACAAAATTCAAATGATGTTGTTCTTGTTACAATTATTGTTATCAATGCTGTTGTTGTTGTTGTTGTTATAGCCAAAATGAAGTCATTTGGACAGCTGCTGTTGGCCAGGTCATGACATGCCTAAGTGGTTGGCCAAGATGATGTGCAGTTTTCGTTGCTGCTCTAAGAATTTCAATTTCGTTGGTTTATTTTATTATACAAGTATTTGTGCATACCTGACCTAAGACAAGAAACTTTCCCAGGCCAGAGCTTGGCAACATGTTCATTAGCACAGAGCCTGGCAAACAAAATTATCAGAGACAAATCAGCCCACAGCTTTGCATGTCTTGGGCATGGTGCTAACCAGTTGACCAGTTGACAGCCCAAGAGCCAAAGAGTTCAGCTCAGCTCAGCCAACAAAATGATGATCACTTTATACCCTTCAATTGAACCAAAAGGGTCTATTGGTAGCACAAAATAGAAGGAATAATACAACCTACTACTAGTATAATACTTCCTTTGGACGTCTC